TGTGCTGCCCCAAGTGGTCAAATACTTTGATGCACTTTCTTTAGGTAAAAATCTGATATCAGTAGTCAGTTTTTACTTTTCAGATTTTGATTTTACATTTTCTGTATCTAATACATCAGTCTGTTTTCTCCCCTCTGTCTTTTATCTTTCCTCTAATCTTCTTCTTTCTTATATCTTCATTTTCTACTTTCAATTTTTCTGTCCCTTTACCTCTTCTCATAAAACTTTCCTCTGTGCTCCATTACTCTGTCTTACCTTCTTTATTATGGCCTATTATCACTGAGCATTTTTCCTCACGTTTTACATATCAGAAGTTGTGAAGTCTGAAGAGAGAAACTTCCCATTCACAGTACAAAACCTTTAACTGTTGTAACAGAGAATATTCCTTTTGTGATTTTACTGTTTAAGTGTTTACTGACGTCGTCCACCCCTGCAGTTTGTCTTGAGCTCCTCTCCCTGTCGTTGGTGCCAGGTATAATTCTCTGATTGCCCTCTTGGAGTAGATGTGCACTTTGGTTCCTGGAAAGTGGTTGAGTGTGTGTTCGTCAAAGCGAGGAACAAAATCGCAGCTTGTGTGACCTCAGCTCACAGCTTTGTGTTCTCATCCGTTACTATAGCATCGCCTCGGCTATTTACAGTAAATAAACATGATCTTATAATGAGCGAGGCTCCATGCAACTGCTGTGCTTTGCTGTGGCCTCCTCAATGTTATTTTGGCGTTTCTCGAAGCGGTCATGTTGATCTTTTGTTTCAGGTAATGAGGAAAAGGAAACGCACAGACTTGGAGACACTTAATTATCCTCCAAAATGGATGCTGTCTGGCTATAATTGAAATATTACAGATCTCGGAGGAACAATGGTTGTCTCTGTCGAGCCAAAATACACGATGACAAAGGGAATCCATTCTCATGGGTGTGTTGCTCTTGTTTTGGAAAGGCCCTTTGTGTTAGCAGCATTGTTTTTGTTTTGCCATGAGCGGCGAAAAGTGTTGTTGTCAGCCTGCGGTCTGAGCACCCTGGATGATGGTTGTTTTTGTGGTTGCGGTCGGTGAGATCCAATTGCATCTGACTGCGCAGGGAAAGATGACGAATCAGTGTCCGATTTATTGATAATCCGCCAAGTTAAAGGAAACCAAGTCTGTCTGATGTTAAACCGTGAACAAGGAGGTTGGTGTTCACGTATGTTTTTCCACAAGTTCTCATCTTGCTGATTTTAAAATTTATTGAGAATTTTACCCGCAGTTTATTTTCACCGTATCTCCAGCCCCATACGTAGCCAAACGCCAAGTGCCATAAACCTCAAGATATCTTATCCATGTGTTAGGATTTGTGCATCTGGGCTCCGTTAGTGTGGCAGCTATTTGAGAATGTGTGAAAGACGACATTTGTCCTGACTGTCTGGCCATTCGTCATCTCAACAGGAGGTTTGCTGTATGTCAGGTCCCAGATGTCTCTGAGTTACCAAATGATGATGTTTGGTTTTCCAGCTGTATGTAACTGGGGATCTAAACCTCTTAGATGCTATTTGTCTTCATTACACACTTAAGCAATGCATGCTATGTTAGATTTAGGGTTTTACCTTTGTTTGCAATTGATCAGTTTTGAAACCCAACCTCAAATCTAGCTTAAAATGACTTTCTCCTCTACCAACAAAAGCAACACGGATATGAGGACAGGAATATTACAATGTAAGCTGTGTCTCAGTTCAGGGGCTGATCTAGTTTTTTAACATTTGTACCTTTAGCTGTTTGGTTGAGTTGAAGCCTGATAAAAGTTTGTCACAGAAGCACAATGAATCCTGGGATAGGTTGGACCGGAAAGGATCCATCGGTTTGATCCTTCGTTTCTCGTGGGTGGAAGGACGCATTTGTTGATTGCATCTGGAGGAGACAGACCAGTTGCGCCGCTGTGATGCAATCAGTCTTTAAATGCAGCCTCTGAAGGATGCGGCCCCTGAATTGAGACGCAGCTGTAGTTAACAAAGTAACATTCCAGTAAGCGGTTTTAGTTGTAAAAGGTTATTGCACATATCCAGCTCCTATATTTAGTCAACATTGCTGTCATCCTGAACATCACACCACTCTCTTGCAGTCCAGTAAAGCATTGCTTGATGTATTTCATTGTTATTCTATATGGGGAAAAAAAGAAGAACAGAACTGTCGAAATAGGTACTCGGGTACAGCTATACCAAATATCATCACCTATACTGACGATGTAGTTGTATGTTTAAAAGAAGTACAGAAATGTGAGAGGAAACAGATGGTTTGCACAAAATTCAATTAAAACACTAACGTTATCCTTAAGCTTCCCCTCGGCAGTTCAATGCAGCATTTGTATACTTTCCTTATTTGTCTTGCTCAACCAGGAAGTAACCTACTGGGAAATGAGCAGCAATCAGGTCGCGACCCCTGATCGAGCGCTGGCCTGTCCACTGCTGTGTCGACACTCAGGGCTTGAAAGGATTACAGCTGCTCCATCTGATGTCCGCTCTGAGCTGCAAAACCGAAATCTCCCCTTGTTGTTGTTGTGTTGTCAGCCATGTGTGTTGTGTTATGCCAGGTGTTTGACAGCCAACCCGAAAATACTCCACTTATCCACCGAGCATCTGAGGAGCATCACTCAAGTGTGCACTGAGATGGAAAAGCCGTTTTCCTGTGTAATAGTTTATACCCTTACAAAGTGTTTTGGTATCATTTCAGCGCAGCAGATTTGTAAACACTGTCAGAGTGTTTGGGTTGGAACGGTAAATTTGGGCAGCAGCTCTGTGATTACTGTGAACTGATGGACTGATATGCTTCCTCTATTGTGAAAGCATGAGCTGACCCTTCAAACATGTCAGTAGTTATGAATGTTTCCATGCAATATTCCTCGTGGCCGTATTCCCAATGTGCACTTCTGTGCTTACAGCTAAACCGGTGGTGAGGGAAGACTTTGGTAACTCCTGGTATCTCAAACACAGCTGTGGTAACCGCTTTGTGCAACTTGTTCCACACCCAAAGCTGGAACTGCTCTTTCAAAGACAAATGTCTTTCAGGCATGAACACTTGTTAATACATTTTAAGGAGCCCACAGAGACACTTTACGTGATTTGGACATAAGCAACAGCCATGTTTTGGGGCTTGAAAAGCTGAGGTCACTCTCAGGTGTGTGGTCAAGCAGAAAACAGCTACAACAACATTGGGATTGCTTTTTCGCTCAATTCTCTGACTCATATCGTGCCTGTCCACTCTCTGTCTTCACTCCTTTTCAAACCTTTCCTCCCACATAATGAACTGTTTGCTTTCAAGATGTGGAGACTTTGGCTAGAAATCAACAGAAGTCACGAAAATTAGATTTTGGTTTATGCACAGATGTCATACTTTCAAACAGTTCGACTGAATTTATGGACGTCGAGATAAGATTTATTTACAGATTTTTCACTGCAGCTTTAGGCAGAAACAGTAAAGCAGGTCTGTATTTGGCAGTGGCGTCATTTGTGTTGGCAAAGAGCTGAAACTGTGGAACGCATTAAAAGGTCAGTTTAAAGCTGCAATGATCAGTTTTTACTAGTATGGGTCAAATAACTATATGTAATATGAAAGGGGTCATTTAAAGTAACACGTGTTTTTGAAAATGTTGATTCTCATGGCTCTCATACGTGCTTTTTATCCAACCACAACAAAATGCATGAAACTGAGGAGCATTTAGTTGGTGGAGGCTAAAGGAAGAGGACTGGACATTCAGGTCACTAGAAACACCAGTCCAAATAAATGCTAATGTTGGAAAAGGCAACTGTTTGCTAACACATTCTCCATCTAAACATTTACAGGTGATAATAAGTCACTGTCACCCCCCAAAGGGTTAAAAAATAAATGTAAGGTTTAAAGATATGAAGTAGAGTGCAGGGTCTGATCAGATCAGAGAGAAAACGAATCGAGCCCGACCTGAATCCGACAGGCATACTGTCATGTGTGACCCAAGCCCTTTCCCTGATCATAGCAGCTTTTGTCATTTGATTTGGCAAAGAATCAAAACCGTGGCAGCAGTTTCTCTTAAAATCCTTTTTTTCTCTTTACGGTAAATGTCATGTTCTTTCGGGGTTGGCAGGGAGCTGAGAGACCGCCCTTCCAGCTAGACTTGTTGTTTCATTGAGGTCTAACTTTTTGGTAATCATCAGCGATGTCTTCACATCACCAAGGACGAGTTGTTAACTTTGGCTTTTAAACCAATGATCACTGTGTTTTTAATTAGCTTGAAGAATGACCTCATCATTTAAAATGCATTGGAGCTGCATGTGTGGTGAAATCTCTCTGGTGGCGTTCATGTAAATCTGGATCTGTACTCGTCAGGTATTGAACTCTTTATATTATTACTATTCCTTTATATTAAGGTATGTGAAGTGAATTTCCTTCCAGCTTAATGAAAACCAGAACACCCCCCACACGCACACAGACACACACACTTATACAACCTTTCCACACACGCACACTTCCTGAATTGAGAATGAAACACAGCTGTGTGACTGTCAGCACCGCAGATCTCGCCACTTATCTGTCATTAAAGATCTCATCGCAGAGAAATATTCCAGTGTCCCCGTTCAGTTTGACGCCATATTCCTGACACGGCAAGAATAATGAGAAAAGTGCAGACGCAGAAAGATGCTGCTCTTTCTGTGGCACAAAAGTTTAAGTCGCTGTCGTGCAACACCCCCCCAGGAGAGGAATCTTTGTGCAGACAGCGACTGAATAGTAGGCGGCTTGTTGAGTGAGGACTGAGTTCAGGAAAACAAGCACGTCGCTGAGTGTAAACAAGTCAGTGGTGGGGGGGTTGTTTACGTGTCCCCTGCCCCTTCACCAGCTGGGCCCCAAGGGAACTGCTGGACTCTTTAATGGAGGCTCCGCAACTGTTTGTCCAGATGTGGGACTCTGCCCACACATGTCCTTTTGAGACATTTAAAAAAAAAAACATAGCAAGCAGCAAAATGTGTTGAATCATCTGTTGTTCTTCATTGTTTTTACACAGGCATCCAGGAGGGCACCCAGTGCACCAAGTGTAAGAATGAATGGGCACTGAAGACCTCCATCGCTCTGCTCTACGTGCTGTGTACCCTCCTCACCATCGCTGTTGCTGTGCTGGGATATAAAGGTAAGACTGTGAGACTCTGTCAGTGACACGTAAGTGACGTCAAACATGACAAGGAGCGAATCTTTTTAGAGGCCTTACCTGTGTATAAAAACATACATATACCAAAGGTCTAACAAAACTCCACTACACTCTTTGTTCACTCTCACCTGATTGGTCCGATTCAAGGCTGAAAAGCATCATTGAACATCCCAGTGATGCAGATCGTATTATAAAAATGTCCAAATGATACAGAGATCTAACAATTTCATATGATTTGGTTTCTTCTTCTTCATGCTGCCAGGAGATAAACAGTGAGTACAGTGAGTCTTTGTCTGTGAAGCATGAGATCAGTGTTCTCTGGTGATGTTACGTTGTCATTATTTACACGTTTAATTGGTAATGGAGTCACTGGTCGATACAGATAAAGGGGCAGTTTATCTGAAAACACACATTTTCTTATTAAGAAACAATTTTACATCAGCTGGAAATATGTTTATTTTCTTGCCGTGCAAGAAAGGAGGTGAGTGGAAGCTGTAAAACATTGAAAATTGGTTTAAATAAGTTTAAAGAATTCCTCTTCTCTCATAACCTATGTCAACAACTTTAATAGGGACTATTTGCTCAGTGGAAAGGTAGAAAGTATAGATCCAAAGAAAACTGTTCATGGTAACAGGGATTTTTCGAGAGAGTATTAAATGTACTTTTCAAAACTTTGAGCAGCATACGTGAAATCCCATCTCTGCATCAAGGTGGAGGGAGAAATGACCTGAAACTATTTACATGACTCTGTACCACCAGAGGTTAGTTTGTAATATGGATAAAAAGAACCTTTAAATTTCCACCCCCTCTGTCTCCACCTCACAAGGTAGTTTATTTTAACAACACCTCCAAAGCTCACACTGGTCAGGGAAGGTTTTCAGTCTTTGTGGAGCTGAACTTCCTCGTTGGCTTTTTTCTCTCCTTTTTTCCACGGTCGTCTTTCGGGGAATTGAACTCTGAATGTTCCTGCCATAATTGTGCTAAACATTCCCACATGTGACTGATGTTTTGTTTTCTTGTCCCCTTCCTTTCAATTTGTGTAAAAGGCACGGAGTTAACATGTTCGAGGGGTTATCTGTGTGTCTTGAGTACATTAATAATGATGTCCACTCAGTCTCTGAGCTCGACTCGGTCCTACTTGTTCTGTCCTGCATGTTTTCAGGCAGGTCTAATTGATCCCAGATGAGCAGTGAGTGAACTCCACTCGATTTCTGCAGAACACACTGAAATTGGGTTTTTACTGGCACTGGAGCGCTGCTGTGTCAAGGGAACCACAGCTCAGCCTAAACACACTCCCAGCTCCAGATGGTTATGTAAAGACCCAGAGTTTTCTCTATGCACTTAACACGTGTGCTGCTTCTCTCGATGCTCCATCACTGACCCACACAAAAGTCCTCTGCGGCTCTTTTGTTTTGATGCAAGAAATGTTCAGTGACCTCTTTCTTTTCCCTGCAGCCCGTTGTCTTGATTGACGTGACCAGAGACGACTTGGAGTTGGTCTCTGGGCTGTGGAGGATTTAAGTCTCATTGATTTCTGGAAGGAAAGTGACTGGAAGAGAGGACATGACCTGTGTGGTTTACCTCTCATCCTCACAAGAGTCGTTTTAAATAAGCACAAACGGTGTCATAGAAGCAAAGCCTCCTCTAGAGTTCAGTGGTGTGGTAGAGGAAAGTCAATGACCCTGGTTAAGTGTCTTCTGTAATAAACTTTATTTGTATAGCACCTTATACAAGAAATGAAAAAGTGCTTCACATACAATTTAGATAAAAATAAGAACATGCTTATATTTTTTGGTCTCCTGGGATACAGGCTGTCTGAATCCTGGAGGAACTTTGCATTTTGATTTTGATATAATAATAAAAATAATAGGTTTGATACCATAAACAGCCAATTAGTCACTTTCTTGCACAAATAAAAAAACTTTGAGCATTAAATTGCACCCTTGCTCTGTTCACTTTACTCAGTGACCTCCCCTCACTTGGAGAAATATTTATTGTTTGCTACTTGTCATCCCATTACACTCACACTCATTGAAAGATGGAGGTCACGTCTCCACTTCCTCCCACTATCCAGAAATGAAGCAGAAATATTCCAGATATGAAAGCCTCTTTGTGGCCTGAGAGTCATTTAAAGGTTTCTCCCCATCTTTCCCGACATAAGTACACGTACAGTAGTAGTTGTGCATTGAGGTTTAAGATGCTTGCCTTATAAAGCATGAGTGAGTTTACAATTCACTCACTTCATCATAACTATTTATTACTATTTATGACTTTTTGCATATGGGGAAGTTGGACTTGACAAGACATCCTGGACTGACTCAGTTTCAGGAACCACCCACACAAGAGCTGGAAAGATTTCACTCTAGTACAGCACAGCTCGTTTTTATAACGTTTGAAGTTTTCTGCCAAAGTAATGCTTCCCTCTGTGGCCCCCGTTTCAATTCCAGTTTCTTTGCATATGTGTTTTATGGTCAATTTTGCTTCAGGGTGATGCAGCGAGTTTCTCTGAAGGCCAGCACAGGAACAGAACGCGTGGAAAAGGCCCAAAGGTTTCTGTACTTGGGAGTTTGAGTTTGTGTTGATTCCAGTTTCCAGAATAGTGTTTAAGTGTCTGTGAAAAAAACAATGTGTCTCAGGTGGACGTGAATCAAAGTGTTTTGTGCTCGACAATGTCAGACTTTAAGTCCTGTGTTTATGGAAATATGCACCATTTAGTTTTCTGTGTGGAACGTTTCCTGTCCAACTGATCATTTTCTCTCATGACTGAAACCTGAAAGTTGAGATTCTGGGACGTCAAAGAGACTGAACATAGGAAACAAAAAACAGCTCTGACCATATTGATTAAACATTGATTTTCCAATTTGAAGTTTCCCAAACATCTTACTGTCATTTACTCTGGGGGCAATTTTTCTACAATAACAAAATATTTTTTCTGTTTGCTGTCTGGAGACAGAAGAATGAATTTCAATGTGCTACTGAAGTTTTAGATTTAAAGAGACGGTTTCACATTTTGGGAAATATCTGATGACTGTGTGGTCAACATGAAGCAATAGGAGAGGATAGCTGTGTTCAAACACGTACTGAAGTCTGGACATTTCCAGGAAAATATATATGAGAATATAAACAACTCAGGAAGAGGAGCTGTACACATAGAAGACTCTGACAAAGATGTCAACTTGAAAAGACAATAAGATTACAGAGGTTTTGTCGATAATGGGCCGACAGCGGTGTCGATGAGTTGAAAACAAAACCATGATCTCCTCAGCAGAATTTATAACTTATGTCCTACCTCCTGCTGCTGTCACAGCATCTCTTAAGATCAATAATTAACAGATTTTAACATGTATTTCTGTTAAATTGGTACAAAACTCTGTGTGTAGTGTGATAACAATCAGTTTTGCCTATGGCTGTGGCATTTCATTGTTTGTGGAGCGGTGACATCCTTTATGCTAAGCTAACTGGCTGTTGGCTGTAGCTTCATATCTGTGTGGAATCATGTCTGTCTCATGTTGTGACCTCTGGAGGTGGCGGCCTTGTGGCTCAACTGCCCTCCACACAGCTGGGACACGGCTTCCCAGCAGAGGAGCACATGCAGCTCCCAGTTAAAGGAAGTGTCCCCCTGGCGAGGCTGGTGGTAGATGTGGGCTGATTCCCTGGAATCCCAGACACATTCCAGAGGAAATGAACGCTGGTGTCGCCTGTGGGGGCGTGAAGAGCCTCCGTGCCACAGCGTCTGTCTCCTCTGGGCCGTCTTTGATCCGTCTGTTTACTGAAGACACCCCCTAGGTCACTTCCTGTCCCTGGGGCCCTCAGAAGTGTCTTCCCATCTCTGTCATTGATTGCTCCACTGCATCTTTACGGAATCAGAGTTTCCTCCTCCCTACCTCAATGTCTACCTCTTCTGTTTTGGACCCTGAATGTAATTGCATTACAGAGAACCCAAGAGATTATGATAATCAATTCTACCATTATTACATGCCTACAAGATATGCAGACGCATCTCTTATTGTATATGTCAGTAAATTTCATTGGCTTCCTCTCTGATCCCTTTCATAAATGATGTCTGTGGTTGCAGGCAATTCTGGACTGTTAATAAAGGACAGAGCCTGTGATGAGACTGACTAACCCTTGTCCTCCTGCCTTGTTTCAGTGGTGCAAAGAGTCGACAGTGTGTCTGAAGGTATCGCAAACTATGGAGGGAAGATAGTGGCTGTTGAGACTGATTTGAAAAAGCTTGGTAAGTCACAGATGAATTACAGATGCTGGATTCAAATTTAAGTGAAAGTCACATTCAGAGGATTGATTGTGCAAATCTCTGCTTCAGATGATCAAACAGGAGAGAAGTCGGAAAACACCACCACAGAGATCCAGTCTTTTAAGAACAACATCTGGACCCTTCAGAGGCAGCTGTCTGCAGTGGAGGAACACATCCACAGCGATCAAGTTAAGCTGAGTCAGCTGCAGAACATTGGTTCAGACATCCAGAGCAGCCAGGGCTCCATACAGGGTGTGCTAGGTAGTAACACAGCTACCTTACGCTCTGTAAATGGCACCCTGCAGTCTTATGGCAGCATCATTGAGGGTCTGCAGGAAGACACGGCCCGGCTGCAGAGAGAACTCCAGCAGCAGGTGAGACTTCAGAACCAGGCGCTGCTCAGCATCAGCAGCCTAAACCTCACCCAGGCCCAGCAGAGAGGCCTCATCACCGCTCTGCAGCGCTCGGTGGATGACACCAGCCAGGCCATCCAGAAAATGCGCAGCGACTTTCAAAACCTTGAGCAGACAAGCCGACAGACTCGCTCCGACACAGAGTGGCTTCGAGGCAAAGTGGATAACTTGCAAACCTTGGCTAGCAATGCCTCGGCTCTGGCCAGGGCCAACAACGATAGCCTTGAGGATGTGGGATCACAGCTCACTTTTATGGCCAACCAGCTCCAGAACACCAGCAGCCTGGCTGATGCTCATGACCAGACCTTGAGGGAGATCATGGATCAGCAGAGGGACTTCAGCAACCTCACGTCCACCAAGTTTGACCGGCTGGAGGTACGCCTGGATGGGACAGAGCAGAGTATGGACCGCGTGACTGGCAATATCAGCTTCACCACTCAGCTCTTGGGTGCCATCAACTTGAACCTGAACGACTTACGTTCTTGTTCCGAGACAGTCGGCCGTCACTCTGACTTCTTGTCAAACCTCAACAATACCGTGACAGACGTGAGGACAGATGCATCAGGTCTAAGGTCACAGCAGGAGGAGCTGGCAGCACGTGTGGACAAGGAGGTCACCAACCTCTCTATTGTCATGGAGGAGATGAAACTGGTGGACACCAAGCACTCACAACTTATAACCAACTTCACTATTTTACAGGGTGAGGGGTGTATGGCTTCCTATAAATAAATTAATTAGTTTTCTTGAGTTAGTTGAGATCAATACCACACACGACTAGTACGGTATATATGAAGCATGAGCCAGCAGCCAGTTAGCTTAGCTTAGCACAGAGCCTGGATTCTTGAAGAAATTGCTAGCCTGCCTTTGTCCAGTGGTAACAAGGAATTAAGGTTTAGCTTTTCCATGGGTTATATTAAAGACTAACAGGCTAAGCTAACTGCGGCTGGATTTAGCCTCACATTTATCGCATACTAGATTGGTGTAAATTTTAACTAGTCATTTTTGTGTTTCAGGTCCCCCTGGTCCCAGAGGGCCAAGAGGGGACAGAGGACCTCAGGGATCATCTGGTCAGCCTGGCCAAAAAGGAGAGAAAGGGGAAAAGGGTGGTTCAGGGATACAAGGACCCAAAGGAGAGCAGGGTTTTCCAGGACCACCAGGTCTTCCAGGGCCAAGAGGTCTACCAGGTACACATGGCAACCCTGGGTCCAAGGGCTCCCGAGGGTCAGGAGGTCGGGCTGGACCTCCTGGAGGTAAAGGCGAGCCAGGTACTGCCGGTTTGCCTGGAAGAGATGGACAGCCTGGACCACAGGGGGCACAGGGCCCACCAGGTATCAGAGGCTCAGTGGGACCAGCTGGGGAGCAAGGGCCAAGGGGTCTGCCTGGACCCCTGGGGCCTCAGGGGCCAGCAGGGCCACCAGGACTACCAGGGATCCCAATCCGGGTTCCATTAGTTCCCATGGTCCCCGTGTCTATGCAGGACGAGGCAGTAGCACCTACGCTATGGGCCCCTGGTAACTTTCCTCATTATTTTTGTTACAACATATTTGCTCTGATGTAGAGATAAAATCATTAAAGTTTAAAGCTTCTGTTGTAGATGTTCAATCAACTGTGATCCTGAAACTGTTTTCTGTGATATGTTGTGGAACGTTGGGACACGACCAAATGAAGAAACCACATTTTGGAGTGGATCTCACTGATGATGCTTTTCAGTTTGGTAAATTAAATGGTTCCGTGTTTTGCAGGCTGCCCGGCCGAGTGGGTAAACTACAGAGACAAGTGCTACTTTTTCTCCAAAGACCTGCACAGTTTTGATGATGCGAAAGCGACGTGCGAATCCAAATCTGCTTCGCTGCTGATCATTAACGACATGGAGGAACAGGTGACTAGTTATGACTCAATTTCGGTCCCTGATCAGTTAATGAAATTCCCTCATCTGATCTATTTACGTGTGTATCACTGCTCTGTAATGTGTGAGGTAATTTTGTTTTCTGTCCTCGTGTGACCTCAGATATGGCTAAAGAAGCAGACATTTGGAAAAGGTTATTTCTGGATGGGTCTGACCGACAGGGAGGAGGAGAATGTGTGGCGCTGGTTGGACGGGACTCAACCTGCTTTCATGTCAGTATTAAATCAAAAACTGCTTCTATCATAGGAAAGATTTTATGTTTCTGGGATGGAGATTTCATTTCAGGGCAAAACAACTGCTTTCCAATAATAATAACAAGCACAGAGCATAGAAATTTAAAGATTAAGCTGCGGGTTCTCAGTTCCATGAAACAGCACAAAATAAACACTCAAAATCCAGTGAAAATCTGAAACCTAATGGTATTTTTTGACTTGCAAAACTCAATCCTGCTGCCCCTGCAAAAAAAACACCTTAAATTTAATTCAACCATAATTTATACAAGGTCCAATGAAAGCAGTGACTTTTCTTTTTGAACAGTAGACAACCAAAGCAATAATCCAACACAGAGACAAACTTGTGAAATGCAACAGACCAGTATTAAATCAAATCTAAACACAGAAATATGGGATTACCTCAGTAACTTACACTTGTATCTTACTATTGCAGATAAATAAATACTCATTCATGGAATTCCTACTTTATTCCTTTTCCCATTGCTTTGGTTTTCCACCAGAGCTGCAAATGTATTTTGATAATGTGATGTAAGATCGCCCCCTGTTGTTTGTCTGCAGGAAGTGGAAGTCAGGTCAGCCCGACAACTGGGGCCATGGGCATGAAATAGGAGAAGACTGTGCGGGTCTCATCCATGAAGGGTTATGGAACGATTTCTTCTGTGAAGATCTCATAAGCTACATCTGTCAGAAGGAAATGGAGACTCGTACGTTCCATTTCTGTCTTTTCTTTGTTTTTTCTTTTCCAAATGCGGTTGTTTTCTTCCTGCATGGATAGCTCCCTCAGTTGTTTCCTAATGTATCTGTTTCTTTTTCTGCAGTTCTTCTACGATCACCTGGATCATAGCGATGTCTTAAAAGCGAGCTTGCAGTGAGCAGCTAGACTTCCCCCTTGTGGTACCGGTCCACGGACGCAGCACATGGAGAGAGTCCTTACGGAGAGAGCAGTGGGACCAATTTGAAATGAGCCCGGGGCTGCAGCTGAATAATGTCTCTCCAACACTGAAGAGATGCCTTTCTCCTCCAGAGTGAAACTAGTCCAACTTTACCAGCAAGTGCAATACAGCAGGGCGACCACAGACGGAGGAGACTTTATATTTTTTCAAATGACCAAATCATCAATATATATATATATTGACTATTTGGAAATTATATTTTTTATGGTTATTTGAGATACATTCAATAAAACTGTATTGTATGAGCAACTGAGTATCTGAATGTATATATCATTATGCAACTTTTGTAGGAAAACATTTCTATGAAGCCAAATGGACTTAACCGTAGTGCTTTACGTAACAGGTGTTGTCTTAAAAAGAATATAAAAGGTACAAAAACATGTTGCTGATGTGCTATCTTTGAGGAACTGTTATCTAACCTCACGAATGTCTTTATAGCATTTTCATTTATATGAGTACGAATAAATGAAGTATTTACACATAAACACAGAAAAAAAATTCCAAATCAACTTTAACAGTTTAATACTTTGTGTATGATGATGCAGTATTTTGTGATTATGAGATTTATTTTTCCTTACTACAGACATATGTATGTTTATATATATATATATTTGAGAATCTGTGGATCCTACCTACAAATAGAAAATGTACCATTTTCTGTCCTCAGGTATTTCCCGTTTAAAAAATAAAAACACTTGATTTTAAACACTACGAAAGATGAAGGAAACACTCAAAAATAAATATGTAAAACCCGAGAAATGTTTGTTAGCTTTTTTTTTTTTTTACACATTTCCACACACCTTCAGATATAAGATTACTGATACTTCAATTTCTGCATAACTAATGTGTGAAGGTCATCACAAAACTCTCCACAGTATTGTAGAATTTGGTTTATTGGTTTTGCACACAAAAAAGGTATCTTCACATTTCTAATGATTTTCTTGAAAAATAACTTGAAGTGATTTATTTTTTTATTGTTTTTTCTCCTTTCTAACCCAGAGTATAAGCAAAGCGGTTGATTTTCTTAGATATGCAGTTGCCTCAGTGGTTCATCAACTTACTAACATGTCCTCTCAATCATTTTCACATCCTGCTTCAGGTCAGAACTCCAGTTACAGTCAGTCCTTCAGCTGCACAGAAGATTGAAACGATCTCACAATAGCACCTTTAGTAGGAGGGAATCTAACTACCTCTCTATCAACATGGACATCAGGTTCTCGGTTAAAAAATAAAACAGAAGCAGCGACTGAAGACGGAAGAGTGCTCGCGTTAAATTTGAATTGCAGCGCTACGACTTTTCCGACGACTCAAATTCATTTGAGATGCAACATGAAATACTGCAGGAGTCGAGCCAAGCGAGACAAAAACGTTTAAGTTTGAGCTGGGTTCGCTCTAAGTGATACAGTATGTGAATAAATCATCGTGTTAAGAAATATGTTTACGTTTACCTGCTTATTTCACATTGCATCATTTACACAAGGTACAACAAACGTACACAAAAGAAGCAGCATATTGTCTAAATGTAGATTTATTGTTGAGGTATGATATGATGAATATTTTCTCTTTTTGAAACCTTCTGTTTTACAGCCACTCTATGTTTGTATAAAACCTGCGGTGGTGGAATACACCTGAAAAGTGCCAATTTTGTAAGATGGAGGTGAAGCTGGGACAACTCATTAGATACAACTTACAACCTTCTTCTCGTGTTTCATTTCAAATTTCGCCGCACGCCTCTCGTTTGCCTCTTTCTCCTTCAGGGTGAAAGTGTGCCGGCTCGTGTTTTTCATGTTTGGTGCAACAAGACGTGAGGCTGGTGGGTAAATTTGTGCTGAGACGCAACGCCAGGCTTCTGTCTCGAGCTCCAGCAACACTGGTTTGGATTGTAAACATGTTTCCGATATAATCATTCAGGTAGGAATCAAACCTGTAAAGAAACAACTTAGGAGGAGTTTCGCCCTCAGTATCGCTGGCTGTCGCGTCATCTCCGCGGCTCTTTCCGTCCTGTGCAATGAAGAGTGTTAATGGCCGATGAGATGGAAATGAAGTGAGCAGTGGGGGGGGGGACAGAGTGATGGAGGTGGAGGGAGGCTGGCTCAAACAAAGGCCCAAGGTGGCGCACGTCTAGTCATCTAGTCGTCCTTCTCCACAATGACCTCCCCGTGAAGCATCCTTCTCCTCTGCCGCAGCATGTGGAAGAAGAGCTGAGGAAACACTGGGGAAAAAAGACAAACAGGATCAATCATACAAAACAATGAATATTCAATATGTTAATTACAATATAAACATCTGTGTATGTAATTCAATATTCTTCAGGTGAACAGGTACAAGATGATTCCTCTTTGCACAAAGCTGCTACATTTAGTATCAAGAAAACTGTTCCATCACAAAATCCCTGGGCTGTTATTTAGAGCACGTAGCTTTTTTTTCTGCAGCAGGAAAGCTGGGTCACGTGGGATGATCCCCAAAGCTAAAAAAGAAAGTGTCAAAGTGAAAACGCTGCTTACATGGGATGTAGGACAGCATGACGATGATGAGGCAGTAGTAGTAGTCAAACGACACATTATACTTGTTGGGAAGCCTCATGGAGTACATCCCAGATCTGCGTACGAACGGCAGAGCAGCGTAAATGGTGAACAGTTCTCCGACGACTCCCAGCGGGTACAGGACGATGAAGAGGTTGTATCTGGGAAGGAAAAGAGACGGATGTATTTAAAATCCAGAAGCCTGACAGACACACAGTCACATGCAACTGCAGTCACACTCACATGCATGGTCAAACAAAACCCCCTCCACTTTGTTGCCCGGTGAAAAAATGTTTGTTGTGGCACGATGTAGTAGTGAGCACAGCTTCGGCCTCCGACAACTGTCAGCCACTGGATCGCTGCACTGAATGGTCCACTGACATGGCCATGGATGGATTTTAACAACTTGGCATTCACACACACACACAAATGCGTACACAGACAGTCTCTCGAGTTGGATGATAACTGATGTTTCAATGGTTTACTCTGCAAGTCGGCCTGGTGAACAATTTTAAGAAAGCTGCATCAAACTTCAATTTAACTCATAAAAGTGCGATGAGGGTTGAAGACAGTTTCCCTTTGTAAAACTCAAAACTGTCCTCTTCTCGCCTCTCCATCCTCAAAGGTCTGTCACTGCCCTAAAGTGTGAGCTGGCACTTCGCGACGCCTCCAGGCCTCCCTGGTGTGATATGTGCCATGACTCAGGACTGCGGGGATCCTGTATTTAGTCAAGAGCGAAGCAAAGGCTCGGGGGAAGCGTCTCAGCGGATGTGAGAGAAATGTTCGGCGAACATTCCATGACCAAAACAGATGGTCTTAAAAACGGGAGCAGCTGAACATGAGCCCCTCTCGGGGGGCCTCGTGTCTCCACCATGCTTAAAGAAAGACGCGAGGGGTGGGGGCAGGGAGGAGAGTGCTGGTCAGAACAAAAAAAATCAAAACAAAAGAGAATTCCAAGGAAAAATAAATGATCACCTGAAGATAACACAGCACACAAGAGGGGAAGACAATTTGAATAAGAGTGAAAACCCAGAGTTCGTCTCATAAAGTAAACAAGTTGATGAAATCTTTAAATTTCAATATTCTGATGCAACATGTCTCTCTGGGCCGTAAGATGCCAGGCCTGTGTGCTGGACAGATATCAATGTGTACAGCTGACGTTCCGCCCAACGACTCCAATTTCAGCTGAGCTACTGTAGCGAGGAGAGAGACGCTCGGCCAGACTGCCACGTCACAAGTGCTCTTCATACAGTAGTAAGAAGGGGTTATGTCACGGTGAGGCCCAGAGATGTGTCCACCATCACCACATGTCACTCAATCAAGAAATGACTCCTTGTTGTGGTTCTCATGCTTCAAATATGAACTTTTTCATTGAACATTATAAACCATCATTTGTTTAACTTTTAATCTACAGTTAATAATAAAAAAACAATCTAATTAAGCCCTGAATTGATTATGTTGATTATTATCAGTATTGTCAGAGCACAGTGTTGGCAGTTAGTTCACCCACCGGCTAACAAGGTGCTAATCAATAACCAAACACATGCTTGTTCTCTCTGTGTTAGCCGAGCGACACCTAATACACACACAGGCCTCTGCTACTTCCTGCACTTTAAGCCGGTCTAGGCCCGGGGGGGTGAGACAAACACGCACAGGGGTTAAAATCACTGGATCACACGACATGCTCGGACACAATGTCCGACTCATTAATGACAATTCAAGCTGATCCCAGCCTCGGGGTAATTATATTTTCCACCTGGCCCATTTGATGAAGTACGGCAGGTGGTGGAGCAGGTTGAATGTGTAGTAGGAATATCTGGTGATCTCCGTCACCGTCCACACAACCAGGAATAGGATTACGCTTTCTTCATTCTGGATCTTCGTTTAAATCAGGAAAACGGCAAAGTGAGAAGAGTCAAACCTGACAAATGCTGCTCGTAATGCTCTTGTTACCTGTGTGTGATTGTATGTGAGCAAAGATACCAAGTGTTGAAAGTATAAAACTAAACAAACTGTGAAAAAGAAGCTTCATTTGATTAGACTTTGACCCCGAAATCTCTGAATATATACACTATATACACTACTGTATTGGTTATAAGTCACCTGTCTGATGCTGTTGGTGATGAACCAAACCATGAAAATCCGTGAACACACTTGAACCCCGGTTACAATCACAGAAGTCCTCACGATTCCTACGGCAGAGCAAGATAAACAAGCATCAACGATTACAGTCGCACCGGAGTTTGCATGAAAGAAAATGTGTTTATAAAGTGACTAAAATCATCACATACCGATGGCACAGTGTCCCACCTGTAAGAGGAGACACGGGACATTTATTGTATGTTTTATATTCTTAATTATTAGTAACAGCGAGCACAGTTGTCCTCAGCGTCTTACCTCAACTAATGCAAAGGTCTGGAAGAACTTGAGTGTCCTCGCTATACTTCTGTACAGACCCTTGTGTGTGCCTCTCTGGATGTAGAAGCGCATCATTGCAATGGCCAGAACCAGCCACCTGCAGAAACATACAACAATAATACATAAAGGTACCCGTTACTTAACTCATCCTGACAGTTTTGGGCTTAGGACACTAAAATACGGGCTGACAGATATTTTGTGCATGCTCATAATTTAGTATGATTAAAAGAAAATGTGAAAGTGTGTCCCTGAACCAAAGATAAAGGACATGTGTGGACCCATATTAAAGCAAAGGCTGAGGTAGCATGAAAACCCAGACTCAAGATTGAAACTGACAAGAAGCGTCATCACAGAGGAAGAGTTCTATCACATCCAGTAACAACATAACCAGGCACTAAACTTTTTAACCAAACTTTTACAGCCACAGCATTTAAGTTTAAGTAAAATCCCCTGAATTACACTAAGGTCTTAAAGGTCATTGTTATTGTCCTTTATATTATTCACTTTATCTACAGTAGAGTAGGAGGTGACATCACTGCTTGTTTGCAACTGATATAAAACAGAGAAGAGCATAAAATACACAGATATTTAAAACAAATATTCAGATTAAGCATTAAGTTAATTATACATATTTTGTTGCTCACCTACAAAGGTGCTGACTGATTTAAACGTTTGGTCAAACACAGCCAACAACAAATATTAGCACGTGCACATGTTAAGGCCGTTGAACTGGTGGGAGGTTGACTGTCCCCAAGCTTTTGTAGATGTACAGATCGCAAAAGAAATGAGTCCTGACTTTCAGGTGCTGGAAAACCCCCAATGCACAGTTTTATCAACACCAAGATAAACCATTAACAATTTAGAGGAAATAACAAACACGGATTAGTCCATAATAAAAAGCTCCAATGTGGAATATCAGCATATTTTGATCGTTCAGAGCAGCAGATATGAAGCTGTTATAGATTATTGATCCCTGGCTGACCTGACACTTCAGAGAAGTATTGATCCTCATCTTTCCTCTTTGACAACAAGCACTTTGTTTTAAAATCCACTGACAAAATGTTGTGTTGTTGCAGGAAAATGTGCCGGATGAGCACTTCCCAGGCTGAGCTCCAGTGTCACTGTCAGTCCGGCTATACTTATCACTACAGTGGGAGCTGCGGGCCTCCTCTCCAGGCGCTCAGCCCTATTTGGACACGGCTGCAGCGCCAGTCTGTCACTTTAACCCAACACCATTCATTCATTTTACACCTCTCACTTTAACACGGGTTAGTTTTTAACTCTTCTCCCTCAGTATTTCACTTTTCTCCGGTTTTTCCCTGAGTGTGTCTGAGCAGATCCAGAGAGCCGAGCAGGCGCTGACACAGACGCACGGTCCTATAAACAGCAACACACGCTCAGGGGGGTTTTCATGGAGCCGATAAACTTGTTGGCTTTTCCTTATTAATAGGCGACTGGGGGGGCGCACGGTGACGCACGTACCCGGCGGTCATGGCGATGTTGTAGAAGGTGAGCCATGCGGTGGCGACGGCGCTTTTCGTCCGCTTCTTGTTGTTGTTTTCCTTCTCCTCAACCGTGCCGTCCTCCTCGCTGGACGCCATGGCACCGGCAGGGTGGGGAAGTCGGGGAGGGGAGCCGACAGCTGGGGCTGCGAGGGAGGGGGTCATCCATCCATCTACTCGATCCTCTGTCTGAAGGGACAAGTGCGTGGCCTGCCGGTGGGTCAGGGGCTGGTACAATTTGAAAAACAAATGAAATAAAGTCCCTCTGTCCTATTTAAAACTTCAGCAATTACAGGGGCGTAGCTAGAAGTTGTGGGGCCCCTGGGTGAATACTACTGGGGGGGGGGTATTTATACAGGAAGTGGGCTCGGTAAAGGTATGGTTCACAGAATAATGTTAAAAATCACTTATTATCTACTCACCACTATGCCGATGGAGGCGTAGGTGAAGTTTTTTAGAAACTTTTTCTGAGTTTCAGGGTTAAACAGTGTTTCAGCCAAATCTAATGAATGTGATAAATTCTTCAAACATATAGATTAAAACAACAGAAAAGAAACACAACAAGGTTTCTGTCCAGTCTGTCATGAAGTGCTGCTTAGAGGGATTATTGTGAACTTGTGTCTTTTAAACACAACAATGGCTGAAGCTCTTTGAAAGCGACCATCACCTCAACCCGCTTCTGGTAACAAACTTGGACATCAGAGGCAACCGTGGCAAAGGTAACTCAATATTATTTCCTGTATCTATTTTAAACTGCTGATGACTTTCCTTGAAACCTCTCTGGGTCTGGGCCCAGGGGTCTTGCAGCTCAGGTTGTTAGGACTACAACTCCAGTAGAGCGGCTGTAGTCCTATCCCCAAAGGCCAGGCACGAGGGGTACTGTTTACACACAGGTATCACTGGTGTGCTGGTCTGAGATCTGCTGTCATCTCTCACTGCCTGAGAACCTGCATCATTGCATTATCTAAAATTAGTTCCTCAAATGGCACCGTGTAGGAATGTGTGTAAACCAAAGACGGCACCAGATATAGTCCAGGCCACCTAATCCTGATCGAGTTACTTGATCAAGTGTTCAGGTGTCTCTCAGGTTGTGACCTCAGGACAAAACAGGTCAACTGTGTTTTCACATCATCACACACAGGGTCGTAGGTGGAAACTGCGGCCTGATGGTGTTTGAACTAAAGAGAGCACCGATGAAATCATCTGACCTCTCATTTCAGGTCATTGTTTGGTCGACTTTTGGCTTTTTGTTCCTTTTAACTGACTTTTTGTTGGAAAAATGACCCGTGTCACTGTCATTATTATGACATTTATCAATTAATCTGAAAATGGGAAAAATTATACATTGAATTAGCAGAAGCTCAAATATTAAACCAGAGGTTTACGTCTAACATTTGTTTCCTCTTTGGGAATTTTGTTTGCAGTTATCATATTTTGCCACTAGATGGGGATACAGATATGAGAAGAGTCACAAGTGCCTCTGGGTTTATGTCATGTGTTTGCTGGGGTCACAGACACAAGCAGTTGGATGTTGCTTTTATCCGGACAGTTAAATGTTTTCTGGTATTTGAAACATGTCCAGGTTAATAATTGTAAAACCACACATGTTTTATATACTTAGAACAATGTAGGTCGACTGTTTATGTGATGAGATGAGATTTTTGCTCCAAAAGTATTGACTGATGTGTAATTTCGAAGATGCCTGTAGAACATACACATCCTTCAGGGTGCAGAGTTAGACAACCCGTGTTTGTATCCTGGATATAAAGAGAGTAAAGGCCGGTCACATCACCGTCACACCAACAGACACAATGCCTACTGCAGTGTAAGCAGTTGGTCGAGCAGAGAGCCAGGGCTGTGGTGTGTGGAAAATGCTAGTGGAGGCAGACAATGCGCTGGTCCGAGGCCTGACCAGCCCTCAGAGGGACAGGCGTCGCCTCACTGCGACAACAGCCCCTGTCTCCCTCTCGTCTTTTTCTTTATTTTGAACCGCTCCAGCATGGGCTCGGGGGGTACGCTGAAGTTCGCCCTGTGCGAGGTGCTGCAGTTTGCAGGCCTGTGCGTGCCGCTCTTCATCGTCATGCAGAGGTTCGCCGTCATTGTGGCGAGGGTGAAAGCCTCGGCGCAGCCCCCTGGAGACGGCAGCACGGCCTACTGGTTGATCGTGGCGTCCTCCATCGCCTACGTCACCTCCACTGCCCTGCTGGTCTGGGTGCCCCTCAAGTACATGGTCTTCGTGAAAAAGAAGTTTCTCATTGGAAGGAAGAAGTGGTGAGTTTGTCTACCCTCTGACCTGATGTCAGGGGCCAGTGTTTGGTCAGCAGCTGGACTCAGTGCAGCACTTACTGAGTCCTGGTTCGTTTGAGTCTGAACAGGCCTGTAGCTGGTTTGCACTGCAGTTATGCTGCTGAATATCACAATTTAGCAAATCCTGCAACTGCTACCTTACTTTTTTCCTTCCTCTGTCTTTGTATCAGGAGGCCTGTTGCCCTTGTATATGTGGTCCTGTCCACATTGCCCTGCTTTGCCTTCCTTATCGCCAGCTCTGAGGTACATGCAGATTGTTTGTGATTAGTGTGATTACATTAATCTGTTCATACTATGTCAGCCTGCAAGTGACCACAATATTCAATATATTTACTCATACCCTTTTTCAGTTATTATGGAACATAAAAAAATATACCTGTTCCAACCATTTGTTGTAGTTGGGGGAAACGCAGGCTAAGGCCTCTGTGCGTGGATTAAAGGTGATGCTTTGTGAGGAATCTTTTGGTTCTCAAGGGAGAAATATCCAGCTATACAGATAAGGAGCCACTGATAAGCAGCTTGGTTCCTCTTCCTGTCCAAGCCGCCCCTCGTCAAGTCATCTGTCCATGAGGCACATTTTCACTTCCTTACTGGCTGTGGCCCAGGTCCTTTGCCGTTTTATGTGGCCCTAACTCTCCAAAGCACCAACGTGACTTTTTGGCCCTTTGCTTATCTGGTGTATTTTACATAAGAGCAATAAATTCTTCTAAGATAACCAGCTTGTCTGCTTTGTTCTGTGTCCTGTTGGTATGAAGCCCTGACTCAGGAAAATCCTAAAGCTGCAAGTGATTTAGCCCAGAAACCCAGAACGAGAAGAGGTCAGGAGTGTTGACAGTTTGATGTTAACGTGTGCTGCAAAGGGACGTTGTTACCGTTTGTAGTGAAATGATGTGATACCCACGTCAGATGTATGTTCCACTCATTATCTTCTTGTTGGTTGCCCAGGTCCAGATAAATAACAACATGCAATATGATATGTTCACGGAGCTCCCTGTGTCACTGGTCCTCTTCTCTCTCATCTGTATTGACGTTGTGGAGAGGATACGCCACTGCAGACTGACGGGCCAGGGTGAGCAGCCCCTGAACACATCACACACATCACTCACTGAGGGCTATAGATCCTGAACTTTCCTCTGTCAACTATATATAGAGTGATACCCGCTGGGCTTTAGATGTCAGGAGCTGGCAGGCACCAAATACAGCTCTTTAAAACATTTATCTGGAATAATTAAGAGACACATTATTGAATGGCTCTGTGACCAAAATTGGGAAAAATATCCTGTAACTGGAGGAACGAGCGGAAAATGTGTTAACGCTTCTCGTCACACGGTGCTGAATGGACAAAACTGCATGAATGTTTTTTTGAAGATAAGCATTGAGGTGACACGAGGGCAGCCTAAACTTCTGTTTTGTCAAAGTTACTTTTAAAAACAATTTTTAGGATTCACAAGTTAATGTTTTTATATTTATGGTCAGAAGATTGTGTGGTGTATCTTTAACTAACCCTTGACCAGCCTATCATCCTGAAAATCATTCCTTTTGTGTCTCCAGCTAATGACATGGAGAGAGATGCTGACATTCCCTCCTCTGTCCTCACACATGTGGAGCAGGTAACACCAGTGACACCTATCTCTCCAGCTGTGCCGGGGCCAGCTGCACCTGGGCAAGGTGTTTCCACTCCTCATCAGCCAGGGGCAAACCAGCTCGGTGACAGGAACCAGAACGGAGCAGGCACTCGACCAGAGACTAACGGGATACCAGGCAATCCTGGGAGACCATTTAGTATCTCTGGATTAAGCTCACCATCAGTGAGCAGCACAGCGTACCGCATGTCTCCATACACCTACACAGGCCCACTGAGGTTCCTGAGTGCCAGTGACGCCCGAGCGGACGTGTTCGTGGACAGTTTTGTGTTCTGGTTGGATACAGTGGAGATGGTGCGGGTGGCAGGACACCCCCTGGTCTACCACTCAGGCTGGGTGTTCCCCATCTATATCTTCAGCTACCTGTCCTGCTTGCGTGTGGTGGTCATGCCCCACAGCCCCTTGCTTTCCTCACTAGGAGTGGCTCTGCAGGACTTGCCCTTTTTCTTTGTGCGTGTCGGCCTCATTGCCTTCTTTGGCTTCGTCACACCCATCCTCTATCTGATGAAGAACTTGTTGGTGTGCCTGGCCTTTGTCTACTTCAACTTCATGACCAAGCTGAGGGTCTTCAACACAGAGAGAATGTTCTTTTAAAACCAACATAAAGACAGTGCAACACATAGTAGAGACAATATGTTGGCATGATAGACTGCAGATAAACACAGACAACGTATCTCCACTTCCTCCTTGACGAAATATTCCAGTTCAAACGCTGCCTTCTTGCACACCCTGTGAAAATAATCCATTAACTAAATCAAAACTGTTTGCACCACAATAAAGTTCTTACATTGAGAAATGTTGATCATTTTTTAGCCAATCTCATTTCTGAACTTACAACCTGAAGCAGTAAATCACCACTTTGAAACTTTGACTGGCAATTTGCAACTTCCAGAACTTTACAAAAACTTGGACCAGTATAGTCTATGATAAAGAATAGTACAAATGACGTAAACAAAAAGCGTCCTAACTAAATGTAAATATTCGCTTAAAGACACATCACACTGGAAATTAGTTGCACTGCTCAATAGCGATTAATTGTTAGCCTGTCTGTAAGATACAGCTTCCATAGCTAAGTGAATCAATTAACTCTTGATGAAATACTTTTAAACTATAAGAACAGAGGAGAGACTTAAATCAAACTCAATAATGAGTCTTATTATAACTGGTGCAACTAAACCAATATGTGAAATTGTGAATGCTAAACAAAATATCTTCCCTAAATGCATCATGGTAGTTTACACAGGCCAAAACTGAGGCATTAGACATTATGTGTATGACTGTTTTGTGTTTACCCCTTAAAACCCCTCACCCGCGGCATGTTAGTCGTCCTGTAATGTCACTCGAGATGTTTGACAGACTTTTTTCTACCATCATAAAGTGCAGTGAATATGTGAAAGCATATATCCATGTTTTTTTATTATAGGTTTTTCTCTGATAAGTTATTTTCCAAAAAAGAAAAACAAAGTGTGAGATTGTATCGTTGATACGTATATTTTGGTAAGGTAAATAAAGACGGTAATTCAAATATGTTTTCAGTTTCACTCGTATGATTTCTGATATTATGTTGAGGTTCAGTGTATTTGTATGGTTTTTAATCCCATTTCATCCCAATAGGTTCTCAAGAGAAAAGCTTCCCTGTCAAACACCCAAATACCTCACTTCCTGTAATCCTACAAAAACATGGCGACTATAAAAGAAAATAGAAAGAC